ATGAAAATGCCCCCGTGCACAAAGCAACGTCCATACAGAAATTGTTTGTCGAGATCGGTGTGGAAGAACTTGACTGGCCTGCACAAAGCCCTGACCTCAACCCCATCGAACACCTTTGGGATGAATTGTAACGCTGACTGCGAGCCAGGCCTAATCGCCCAACATCCATGCCCGACCTCACTAATGCTCTTGTGGCTGAATGGAAGCAAATTCCGGCAGCAATGTTCCAACATCAAGCAGAAGAGTGGAGGCTGTTATAGCAGCAAAGGGGGCACCAACTCCATATTAATGCTCATAATTTTGGAATGAGATGTTCGACGAGCAGTTGTCCACATACTTTTGGTAATGAATTGTATGTTGCAATTGTGGTGGGTGAAGGAGACATAGGTGGCAAGAGAAAGGGCTGGCTTGTGTGTCTCCTATCATGTATCAAGTGTGTGCCGAAGGAATGTTGTTGAAGAATCTGAGGATGTACAGTGAGGGAAAAAAGTATTTGATCCCCTGCTGATTTTGTATGTTTGCCCACTGACAAAGACATGATCAGTCTATAATTTTAATGGTAGGTTTATTTGAACAGTGACAGACAGAATAACAACAACAAAATCCAGAAAAACGCATGTCAAAAATGTTATAAATTGATTTGCATTTTAATGAGGGAAATAAGTATTTGACCCCTCTGCAAAACATGACTTAGTACTTGGTGGCAAAACCCTTGTTGGCAATCACAGAGGTCAGACGTTTCTTGTAGTTGGCCACCAGGTTTGCACACATCTCAGGAGGGATTTTGTCCCACTCCTCTTTGCAGATCTTCTCCAAGTCATTAAGGTTTCGAGGCTGACGTTTGGCAACTCGAAACCTTCAGCTCCCTCCACAGATTTTCTATGGGATTAAGGTCTGGAGACTGGCTAGGCCACTCCAGGACCTTAATGTGCTTCTTCTTGAGCCACTCCTTTGTTGCCTTGGCCGTGTATTTTGGGTCATTGTCATGCTGGAATACCCATCCACGACCCATTTTCAATGCCCTGGCTGAGGGAAGGAGGTTCTCACCCAAGATTTGACGGTACATAGCCCCGTCCATCGTCCCTTTGATGCGGTGAAGTTGTCCTGTCCCCTTAGCAGAAAACACCCCCCAAAGCATAATGTTTCCACCTCCATGTTTGATGGTGGGGATGGTGTTCTTGGGGTCATAGGCAGCATTCCTCCTCCTCCAAACACGGCGAGTTGAGTTGATGCCAAAGAGCTCCATTTTGGTCTCATCTGACCACAACACTTTCACCCAGTTCTCCTCTGAATCATTCAGATGTTCATTGGCAAACTTCAGACGGGCCTGTATATGTGCTTTCTTGAGCAGGGGGACCTTGCGGACGCTGCAGGATTTCAGTCCTTCACGGCGTAGTGTGTTACCAATTGTTTTCTTGGTGACTATGGTCCCAGCTGCCTTGAGATCATTGACAAGATCCTCCCGTGTGGTTCTGGGCTGATTCCTCACCGTTCTCATGATCATTGCAACTCCACGAGTTGAGATCTTGCATGGAGCCCCAGGCTGAGGGATATTGACAGTTCTTTTGTGTTTCTTCCATTTGCGAATAATCACACCAACTGTTGTCACCTTCTCACCAAGCTGCTTGGCGATGGTCTTGTAGCCCATTCTAGCCTTGTGTAGGTCTACAATCTTGTCCCTAACATCCTTGGAGAGCTCTTTGGTCTTGGCCATGGTGGAGAGTTTGGAATCTGATTCATTGATTGCTTCTGTGGACAGGTGTCTTTTATAAAGGTAACAAACTGAGATTAGGAGCACTACCTTTAAGAGTGTGCTCCTAATCTCAGGTCGTTACCTGTATAAAAGACACCTGGGAGCCAGAAATCTTTCTGATTGAGAGGGGGTGAAATACTTATTTCCCTCATTAAAATGCAAATCAATTTATAACATTTTTGACATGCGTTTTTCTGAATTTGTTTGTTTGTTATTCTGTCTCTCACTGTTCAAATAAACCTACCATTAAAATTATAGACTGATCATTTCTTTGTTAGTGGGCAAACATACAAAATCAGCAGGGGATCAAATACTTTTTTCCCTCACTGTACGGTGTTGCAACTATGTGCGTGAAATCAAGTTCCCATTCCCTGTAGTGCCCGGTTCCTTCTCAGGCCCCAGAGCCTGTAGGGATCAGAGTTTACATTTGAATCTGACTAAAGGAGTATATTAAGTATACTTTACTAAATAAAACGAATTGTTTGAACAACAATGTGCTGAAAGTGTAGTTTCACATAATTTAAATTTTATTTAACCTTTGTTTGACCAGGCAAATCAATAAGAACTGATTCTTATTTACAAGGATGGCCTACCAAAAGTCAAAAGGCCTCCTGCGGGGACGGGCTGGGATTAGAAATAAATACAATAAAATAAAAATAAAATAGAGTTCAAAACACACATCACGACAAGAGAGACACCACAACACTACATAAAGAGAGACCTAAGACAACAACATAGCCTGGTAGCAACACAGCATGACAACAACATGGTAGCAACGCAAATATGGCAGCAGCACAAAACATGGTACAAACATTAGTGGGCCCCGATAACAGCACAAAGGGCAAGAAGGTAGAGACAACAATACATCACGTGAAGCAGCCACAACTGTCAGTAAAATTGTCCATGATTGAGTCTTTGAATGAAGAGATGGAGATAAAACTGTCCAGTTTGAGTGTTTTTGGCAGCTCGTTCCAGTCGCTAGCTGGAGCGACCCAGGGATGTGCGTGATTTGGGGACCTTTAACAGAATGTGACTGTCAGAACGGGTGTTGTATGTGGAGGATGAGGGCTGCAGTAGGTATCTCAAAATAATATGCCTTAATCTTAATTCAACCCTATTCCCTGGTTGTAGTCCCTGAAACCCAAACGCTACTGGGCTACAATTCAGGTGACACTATATGAAAGAATCCTAACTAAATTGTAAGGTGTCCAGTAGAGGTCGGTGTTCATGAGCGAAGACCGAACACGAGTTTTGGGTGGGTGAGTAATACCCAGGCGAAGGAGATGGGACTGTATGGAAGGGAGTTTAGTCCAACGGTAGTTATCCCTGTAAATCCACCATGGCTACTCCCACCTCCAGTAGTTGATCTAGAAGTGTTGGCGAGACTACGGAAAGATAGGGAGGGTGTTGATCCAGCTGATTTGTTTAAGAGACGTCTGGAAACTGTGTATCAGGATTTTGTGGCCATTTACACAGATGGTTCAAAGGATCCAAGGACAGGACGTACTGGGTCAGCATTTGTAGTGCAGGAATGTGGGGTGGAAGTCAGGAAACGTATTACAGATCATCTGGCTGTTTATACGGCGGAGCTGATGGCCATACTGTTGGCCTTGCAGTGGGTGGAGGAAGTTAAGCCAGACAGAATAGTTATTTGCTCTGATTCATGTGCAGTGTTAATGAGTCTCCAGTCCTTTAGCTCACATAGCAGACAAGACCTGCTTTATGAGGTGCTGCAAACCCATGGCAGGATTAAACAGATGGGTATTCAGATAAGATTTACTTGGGTTCCAGCCCATGTGGGGATGGAGGAAAACGAGGCGGTAGATGAACAGCCTAAATAAGTACTTAGTAGTGGGGATGTTGATGTTGAAGTGTCAATGAGCAAGGCAGAGGCAAAAAGACTGATATATACAGTGATGGTGAAGAGATGGCAGGAGCAGTGGAATAGAAATATTAAGGGAAGGCATTTATTTCAAGTACAGAGGAAAGTCGGGGAGGGGAGGACGGCAGGAAGGGACAGAAGATTAAGGGTGGGACACAGCCAGTTGAAATATGCACTCACTAACTGTTAAATGACTAAAATGTAAAATGTAAATTAAACGTGATAGGAAAGCATCCATCAGGAAAGTGTGATTATTGTCCGGAAAAAAAGAGACTGTGGAGCATGTATTGCTACAGTGTGGGCAGTATCAGAGGGGAAGAGAGAGGATGAGATTTAGTATGAGGGAGAAGAGGATAGGAAATTAGTTTAAAGAGTATATTGAGTAGAGCGTCATTAGAAATATTTTGTTATCTTTTTTAAGAGAAACGGGGTTGGCAGGTAAGATTTAGTTTATCCCTGTCGCTGGCCCACACTCCAGTACGGTAGGTGGCGGTAAGGCACCATAACGTTGGATGCCAACCGCTGATAAACCCCAATGAAGAAGAAGAAGAGGTCGGTCTTTGAAAGCAAAGCACCCGAACCGCGGCGAAATCGATGAGATCTCGCGTTTGAAAAACCACGTGATCAAACTGAGCTTTGGACGTAATTGATCATGTGAAAATGTTACTTTGACACGAGCGTCAGTACATTGTGTCGGATCAGTAGTGCTTTGAAAACGTAATCGGAGCTCCGGTATCAATCGTCCCATCACTAAATATACCATAATCACTGCTGGATGTTTCGTTGTAACGTGATTCAAGGCTTGCGTATTTGGAAGAGGTAGCTACACATTTATGTAAATGTCTAGCAAGCTAACGGTAGCAAGCAAGCTACATAGGAACTCACAAAGCGTTAGCTAGCTTGACGACTGACTAATAGTAGCTGTTAGCTAGCCTCGTCGAAAACACTTGATTTTGTAGGTAACGTTAGTTACGAATTTTCTACGTGCGGCAAGCTATACTGCTAAATCTGCAGCTTCTCCTACCTTAGCTAGCTGGAAAGTTTAATTGAACTAACCTGGCTTTCGCTCCCACTGGATATATAGATGGCTAACTACTGTAACAGACATGCTAGCCAGACCAGATGTCTAGTTAGTTTTGATTGCTACATCATGCAATGTGTTTAGTTGCAACTAGGAAATATTCTCGAAATGTATCACTTGATGACTTGAGAAGTAACCTGTGTGTAAATCTAACCATGCAACTACAAATATTTCTTAGTTGGTGCTAATAATATCATGCCTTTTTGTTAACATCTAGCTACAAATTCTCAGCTGTGAGCGTTGTGTTGAAAAGGAAGCCGCAAGCATCCAGACTGTTGTTCACCATGGTCGATTCTCAGTATTACCTCCCCAATGACATTGGGATCTCTGCGCTGGACTGTACAGAAGCCTTTCGCCTGCTGTCCCCTAGAGAACAGCTCTATGCGCACTACCTCTCCAGGTCTGCCTGGTACGGAGGACTGGCTGTGCTGCTGCAGACCTCGCCTGAGTCAGCTTCCATCTATGTGCTCTTACAGCGGCTGTTCCGCAAGCAGCCACCAGCACAGCTGGGGAATGTGGCCACTGCAGCTGGACTCAGTCCTGAGGAGTACCAGGTAATACACCTACCTACAGAGCCTTGGAGAAAGACTGAGTCAAACAATGTGTACACCATATAATTAGAATGTATAACCACACACAGATGGTACAGGCTCAGATCTATCAGGTGACCGAACACAAAGTGCATAGTGAGCCTGTTGTAATAAACATGAGTCTTCTGACAGATAATAATAGCTATTTTCATCTCTGTTGGCAGGCCTTTCTTGTTTATGCTGCTGGCCTCTATGCCAACATGGGAAACTACAAGTCATTTGGAGACACCAAGTTCATTCCCAACCTCCCCAAGGTAGATAATCCTCACTTTTATATCTAAATAATAAAAGCCTTGACAGAATGGTTATGTCCTCTAATGACCACACATTGTGGTTTAGGAGAAGCTGAAGGCCCTTGTGTGGCAGAGCCAGGCCTTCCAGGACAGTCCCAGTGAGATGGAGGCCCTGTGGGACAGCTGCTCCACCCTCCTCTTCTCCCTTGAGGACAAACAGAAACAGCTGGGCTTGGGGGACAAGGTGAGACTTCCTGATGCCAAGCGCTCATCCACTTATGCCTTATGTGATGTTGGGTCCCCTTAAATAAATACTGTGTACTGTAGGTGTTGATAATGATTTTGCTTTATTTCTTGTCCTCAGGGAATCACCACATACTTCTCAGGGAACTGTTGTTTGGAGGATGCAGAGTTGGCTCAGAAATTCTTGGATTCAAAGGTGTTTATTCATGTATTAAAGTTTGTCTTATGTCCATATTGTTAGTATTGCAGGACTTAAAGAGCTGTCTCCCTTACAGAACCTGAGTGCCTACAACACGCGACTGTTCAAAAATAAATCAGAAGGGAAGACCAGCTATGAGGTGCGCCTTGCGTCTGCTGTGCAGAAGGGTGAGAGTGCCTTGTCCTTTTGAAAGCTATGCTAATAAAGACGTGCTATAAATGACGTCAGAGCTCAGGCTCTGAGCTTCACAGCTCTGTATGGTTTTTTGACTGACAGCCATTCTGAACTTGAGCACTGCACGCGACAAGAAGATGCCCCCATCTCTCCCGGTAATTGGGCAACTTTAGCACCTTATTTGGTCAAGTGAGGGAAATGTTGTGAATTAAGAGGACTCGATGTATTTTGAAAGATGAGACGTTGAGGATTATAATAAATACCTATTTGGTGTCTTACATGCAAACCAAACACCCAACTGTGCACTTCACATTTCCATATCGTAAAACTCATCTATGTTTGATGTACAGTTACAAGATGACATGGCGTCATACCCTGGGTTGTTCTGAACAGAATGAGCCTGTGTTTGTCTATTGGGAAGAACATTTACCACGGAACACGCACCTGACTGCACCCTTTATTCTTTTCTATGCCCACCAAAATGACGATCTGTTTCTCTGAATTGCCCTGTGAAAGCCTAACACTGTATGATCCTATTTTATAACTTAGCTGGTCATGTTGGCAATAGAACAAACATTCATATTATGCCCACCTGACCCAGATTGCGATTTTGTAATGGGACGTTTTTGGATTGTGTAAACGGCAGTAATTGTGTGATGGCGGGGATGCAGGGTTGTGTTGCAAACAAAACGACTACAAGTGTGCTTGCTCTAGTTCCTCAACGGCATGGCTAGGAGATCTGAAAAAGCACCTTATATTTGAAGACTCTTATTTGAGTCATAAGTGCATTGAAGTTACTTAGGAACTGTGCACACTTTGGAGAGGTGTGTGGCCCTCGGAGACACCAGTTCGTCCTCACACTCAAACGCTTGTCATTTTTTTGTCTTATGTTGCACACATTTTCCAGGAATATTCTTATGTTACTGAATGTATCCAGAGTATATTCAGATTTTGTTTACAACAAATGCGGCAAAAAGTACAGTAAATATAAAATGCACATAAAATCAAGTGTAGTGTTTGGATTCAGTCTTGTCAGGTGAACTGTTGTGTCCTCAACTTTGGTCTAAGGATAATCTCAACTGTTCCCTTTCAATTGCTACCATGGTTATGCCGTTCATATTTCTTCTGTAAGAAACATTTCAATTTAGCCCTATCCATATAGGTCAATTCCCACAAGTGTAAAGAGTTGATGTCAGTAATGAATTCTCTTTTTATTAAATCATTTTCTCTGTCATTGCTCAAGACTGTGCAGTGGATGGGGAGGGGGAGACCGGGTGTGGCAGATATGACTTTGAGGACTGTGTCTTCACTGTTTCGAGGGGAGACTACGCTCACCTCATGAAGAAAGTGAGTGAAAATCTGGAGAAAGCTAAGGTTAGTTCAAACAGTATCCTAATTCAAATGTATGTTTATCCCTTATCAATTAAAGTATGTGATTCAAAACTACTAATGCGTCTTAAAATTCAAGTTTGGTCTCATGAACGTCTTCTCTTTAATGACAGGACCATGCAGCCAATGAGAACCAGAAACGAATGCTGGAGGAATATTCACGGAGTTTCACCTTTGGGTCCGTGGAGGCGCACAAGGAAGGCTCTCGTTTCTGGATCAAAGACAAGGGACCCATTGTGGAGAGGTGAGAGTGTACTGCCTTCCAGATTTGGCCTTCCAGTCTGTGGATGAAAGAAGTAGCAACTTGATGTTAGTTTTCTTTTCCCTTCTCTCTAGTTATATTGGCTTTATCGAGAGCTACAGGGATCCCTTTGGTTCCAGGGGAGAGTTTGAAGGTACAAATTCAGAGGCAAAGCACCCCTATTATCGTTACGTGTTTTTGAAGACTCCTTTGTTATCATATTGGGGTTTGTCTCTTCTCTCCTCAGGCTTTGTTGCCGTGGTGAACAAGGCGATGAGTGAACGCTTTGCTAAGCTGGTGAGCTCAGCCGAGGTGCTTCTGCCAGAGCTGCCATGGCCAAAAGACTTTGAGAAGGACCGCTTCCTCCTGCCTGACTTCACCTCCCTGGACGTGCTGACGTTCGCTGGCAGTGGCATTCCAGCTGGCATTAATATTCCCAACTGTGAGTGCCACGTCCGACTGACTCTTAATTCAGTTAATATTGACACTTAATTCAGTTAATATTGACACGACTGGTTCAGGTTAATGTTGGTCATTTCCATGTAAAAGGACCCATGAGCACCAATATGTGAAGTTCATAGGCGCATATCAAATTGGGTGTCAAATAAAAGCTGAGAGTCTATATTTTGGGGAAATTAAGTCATAGATACATTTTTCCACAATTTTCCATCTTAAAAAATTAGGCATAAATAATCGTTTTGATTTCTGGTCAAACAGATGGAAAAGGGGTCTTTGAAAACATCCACCAGAGAAAGTCTTAAAAGGTACTAGAAATACATCAAAACACAATGTTGAAGTAAAGACCCCTGACAACTAATATCAACACTTATATTTAGTTTGAGAAATTATTTCCCTTCTGTGAGAAATTCCATTACCAAAAACCCACACCTTTTAAGATATTTTCAAATTTCTCAATGAAAGTTCACAGAAGTAACAAGTGAAGGTAGACCTACCAATTACTGTTTTTACTGATATACATTATTGTTTATGAATTATTAAGTGATTAAAACTCATTCTGTTTCCAAATCGGTAACAGAATTAAATCGGTAACAGAATTACTGCAACTAAATTGGCTGCAATGGGAAATCATAGTCCCAAACCACAGTTGGGTCACCTTCTACTGTCCTCCTCCACTGGCATACTGTTATGTTCAGCTCAATGTTTTCTTTCTCTTTCTGTTGCGTGGTGGTCAAAGCACGTGTGAAGGCAGTCTGGACAACCCCTCCCACTCTCTCTTCTCTCTCCAGTTATTGTCACCTCTCCCAGCTCTTACTGACACCTACCCATGAGCCCCCTCTCGTTCCATTTGCTGTAACCAGCATCCACGGACGTTGAAAAGTATTTTAAATTAGGTCAGTCCGCCCTGGCCTTGATTTCACTACGTCCACAGATATACATTTTTGGTCCGGCCTTGATTTGGCCCAAACATAGACGTCTATGATTGGTTCAGATTTGGTCCAGTCACCAGTCATAGATGTCTATTTTTCACAACTTTGGACAGCACAGTGAAACAGAGTACAGTAAAGAAAAGTAGAGTACAATATAATGTACTGAACTTTACTGTACTGTGATGTCCAGACTTCTGAAACAGACATCTATGATTGGTTCAGATTTGGTCCAGACCAACCAAGTTTGGTCTTGTTTGGGGGCGGAGATCATTTGAATAATAGCCAGTGTGTAGAATAATACCAATATATGCAAAGGATAATATTTAAATATATAAAAAATTATGCATTTATGTGTAGTACAGATCAGGGACCCATAATGTAATTCCGTTACCAGGTGTAAATACCCTTCACTTCCTGTAGTTTAATAACCTAAATAGATTTTTTCAAACTCAAGGTGTCATATCATAGCTGACACCTCATTATTTCTGCAGACATCTGTGAATCTTATTTCGGAGTGTATGTTAAACAGTTTTTGGAAAGCGTAGTCGCGCAAAAAGTTTTTACCGTCATTCTGTTACCAAACTTTGCATCTGCACAGTTCTTCCAGTAAATGTGTTTTTGAGAAAATTTCCGTGTACGTTGTTCAAAGTAGTCCTAGTGCATAGTTTTATGGTTTGTTAAACTTTGACATCAATATTTTTTGTTTGACATTTTAAAGTGAGAAATCTGAGTCGCAGCGTAATTCCGTTAGCGTGGAATAGCCCTGTAATCTCTGATTATGTGTCTGTCTTTGTTTAGATGACGACATCAGACAGTCGGAGGGCTTTAAGAACGTCTCCCTGGGTAATGTTCTGGCTGTGGCCTACGCTACCCAGAAGGACAAGCTCACATTCCTGGATGAAGATGACAAGGTAATCAACTTTCTAACTATGCCCGCCGTGCCTTACCAAATAAGCACCAAGACTGAAGGGGAGGGTGGGGGGGATATATTTATGCCTGTCAGATCTTTGTTTCCTTCAATGGTCCCTGTCTGTTTCTTTCAGGATGTGTACATTAAGTGGAAGGGGCCCTCCTTCGAGGTGCAGGTTGGCCTCCATGAACTGCTGGGCCATGGCAGTGGGAAGCTCTTTGTCCAGGTGAGAGAGGCATCTCCGTTCATGTTCATGTCATGCATGGTCAGTCCTTGCATCCATAGCCCTGTCTATGGATTTGAGTGTTTACGTTTCTCCAGCTCAGTCCCCCAGCTGTTTACCACAACAGTGGCGGGGCACCACCGCTTTATTATTTGAACTGCAGATTGCCCCTTTAATGTCTAAATGTCTGGTTTATAGTAAAATCCATTGTTTTTACTGTTTATGTAGTCTGAATGGGGGATGCACAGTGCTTTGTGACTGATTTTAGTGTTTTATTATGTGTTGTCATGTGTACAGGATGAGAAGGGAACTTTCAACTTCGAGATAGATAATGTTCGCAATCCTGAGACTGGAGAAAAGGTGAGTCTATATACACTATATATAAAAAAGTATGTGGACACCCCTTCAAATGAGTGGATTCGGCTATTTCAGCAACACCTGTTGCTGACAGGTGTATAAAATCAAGCACACAGCCATGCACTCTCCATGGACAAACATTGGCAGTAGAATGACCTTACTGAAGAGCTCAGTGACTTTCAATGTGGCACCTTCATAGGATGCCACCTTTCCAAGTCAGTTCGTCAAATTTCTGCCCTGCTAGAGCTGCCCTGGTCAACTGTAAGTGCTGTTATTGTGAAGTGGAAACGTCTAGGAGCAACAACGGCTCAGCCGTGAAGTGGTAGGCCACACAAGCTCACAGAACGTGACCGCCGAGTGCTGAAGCGTGTAGCGGGTAAAAATCGTCTGTCCTCTGTTGCAACACTCACTACAGAGTTCCAAGCTGCCTCTGGAAGCAACGTCAGCACAAGAACTGTTAGTCGGGAGCTTCATGAAATGGGTTTCCATGGCCGAGCAGCCACACGCAAGCCTAAGATCATCATGTGCAATGCCAAGCGTTGGCTGGAGGGGTGTAAAGCTCGCCGCCATTGGACTCTGGAGCAGTGGAAACGCGTTCTCTGAAGTGACGAATCACGCTTCACCATCTGGTAGTCCGACGGACGAATTTGGGTTTGGCGGATGCCAGGAGAACGCTACCTGCCCGAATGCATAGTGCCAACTGTAAAGATTGGTGGAGAAGGAATAATGGTCTGGGGCTGTTTTTCATGGTTCGGGGTAGGCCCCTTAGTTCCAGTGAAGGGAAATCTTAACGCTACAGCATACAATTACATTCTAGATGATGCTGTGCTTCCAACTTTGTGGCAACAGTTTGGGGAAGGCCCTTTCCTGTTTCAGCATGACAATGCCCCCGTGCACAAAGTGAGGTCCATACAGAAATGGTTTGTCTAGATCGGTGTGGAAGAACTTGACTGGCCTGCACAGATCCCTGACCTCAACCCCATTGAACAACTTTGGGATGAATTGGAACGCTGAGTGCGAGCCAGGCCTAAATGCCAAACATCAGTGCCCGACCTCACCAATGCTCTTGTGGCTAAATGAAAGCAAGTCCCCGCAGCAATGTTCCAACATCTAGTGGAAAGCCTTCCCAGAATAGTGGAGGCTGTTATAGCAGCAAAGCAGGGACCAACTCCATATTAATGCCCATGATTTTGGAATAAGATGTTCGACGAGCAGGTGTCCACATACTTTTGGTTTAAGTGAGTATTGTGTAAAGTATGGTTTCTGTGCTTCAGATCACCACCTGGTACAAAGGCAACGAAACATGGGACAGCAAATTCTCCACCATTTCTTGCTCCTATGAAGAGTGCAGGGCCGAGTGTGTGGGGCTCTACCTCTGCCTCAACAAGCACGTGCTCAGGTCTGTTTATCCATACTCGTGTGTGTGTGTGTGTGTGTGTGTGTGTACACACACTCTGTAATCACTAAACCTACATTAATATCAAAGCAGAATGTATTAACAGTGATCTTACGTGGGTCAGGATGCTCTAACAAGGATGTTGTCCCTGGGTTTGCAGTATCTTTGGCCATGAGGGCGAGGATGCAGAGGAGGTGGTGTATATCAACTGGCTCAACATGGTCCGAGCTGGCCTGCTGGGCCTGGAGTTCTACACCCCCGAGAGCAAGAGCTGGAGACAGGTCAGCTGCACTAAAGTTCAATCATTTATAAAGTACATCAAGCCTCAATTTAGTTGATCATGCTATCTTTCTAACTCTATTGCTCATTGAATCTCTTCCCCACTTTAACTAAACATCCTGTTCTCTCTGGCTCAGGCCCACATGCAAGCTCGCTTTGTGATCTTGCGGGTACTCCTGGAGGCTGGCGAGGGGCTGGTGACCCTGAAGGAGAGCACAGGAAAGGATGGGCGCCCAGATGCCCTTATAACGCTGGACCGCAGCAAGATCCACACTGTGGGCAAGGCTGCCATCGAGAGGTTCCTATGCAAACTGCAGGTACAGCTGTAGAAGGCTTGGAAATGTCTTGATTATGGCTGGGATTACCGGGATAAATGTCACAATAAAAGTCGACTCAAATCTCCTATTTGACACATTATTATCTTTGTCCCTGCAGGTCCTCAAGTCCACAGCCGATGTGGAGGGAGGCAGAGCTCTGTATGAGGGATACTCGGCCGTGTCCGACAGTGGTTCTCACAACTTCCTGTGCCTGCGGGAGACTGTTCTCCAGCGCAAAGAGGCTCGCAAGATGTTTGTTCAAGCCAACACAAGGGTCAAAGGTTAGTCTTTAATGCCAAGATGAATATCTACATTTACATGGCATGGCTCTTCATATGTTTATCATCGTCCTACTAAGTGATCTACCTTCATGTAAAGACAGTATCACCCTAAACCATTTTACTGGCCCACGTGTCATTGGAATTCAAAGACTTGTGTATTGTCTGATGCAGGTGACAGTGTAGAGCTGGTGGAATACGAGGGCAGTGCGGCTGGACTGATCCGCTCCTTCACAGAACGGTTTGCAGATGACGACGCCGAGGAGGTGGAGGCCCACCTGCTAGAGCTGAACAAGAGGGATGCCCCCTGCTGGTTCTGAGTGAACAGTGCAGATACACAGCCAAAGCAGTGCTAAGACCCAGACATGCTGCTGCACTGCCCACGCCTGCTCCTGACTGAGACACGCCTGGACCTGTCATAGGAACTGATCTTTCCATGCACTGTCAAATGCCTTTACAAATCAGTCGTGAGTGGAATGCACAGGTGGTTATGGCTGTGATTATGAAACTCGAGACATTCACCCCAGAGGCACAGTTTGAAACTACGTTAAGCCCCAATCATTATGCAGTAATTCATTCCCCCTTTAATATTAGGAAGGATAGGAACAGTGTAAGCAATGTCATACAAATTTGACAGCTAAAAGAACTCAGTGCCCTGTGGTAGGAGCTTGGAGTCAGTTTGAAACAAGGCCAGAGTATAGAAACAAAAAGTGACTCAAGGGTACCATACACGGTTCACCATCAACTAATCTGTCAATCAAATCTAAACCACAATATTACCCTTTTTTATGTTGACACATTTCAATTGCTGTTTGTCTTAGAAAGATTGACAATGTTCTTTTTTTTAAAGAACTCCTTCGAATAATATGAATCATAGGGTAAGCTCTTTGTCCCTTGTGTCCAGGAAACTTAAAGCCACTACTGTGACATGGTCAAAGCCATTGTGAAAGGGTACACAGTACTGCAAATTCTCTCTTGCTTAGGTTGGTAAGAAACAGCCTATACAAAAATTAATTGGATTTTCTTTTAATACCAATGTCTGTTCAGTTTGTTTCTTATGCGTTATTAAAGGTATCTCGGGGAACTTGTGTAATGAGCTGCATGAACTGATATACATTGAAATATAATTTACACTTAGATGTTGTTTAATAGAATGTCTTCAGTACTTTGCAATCTCCAGCAGACATTTATTTTAAGAATAAATCACAAAGCAAGTCCTTATTGTAGTCGAGGGGTTTAAGAAAACTGTTCCTTAACGTGTGGATACTCCAGGTGATTCCACAAGGTCCACAGCCTCCTCTCTTGTTAGTTTGCAAGTCTTGAGTCCATCCTGGTTGGCTAGCTGGTATATGAGGGGTGTTCCGCTGGTGCCTTGGCCCTGTAGGTCCTGGATCTGGCCCTGGGCTGGGAGGGCTTGAATCTCCCCCTCACTCCGCCAGTACAGCTTGTACAGTCCTGGGTTGTCCACACCAAACTTAGCAGCACAGAGCTGGGTCAGGGCCTCCCCACTAACTCCTGCCCTCCATTGCAGGGTTTTCATCCAACTGCTTTCTCCATCTTGAAACAGAACCTTGACACACCTCTACAACAAACAATTTTAAAAAAGTTTCCCATGAGAACAGTTGATATCGAGCATTCCTACTGGTCACTTTGGGGTACAGGGATTTCCAACTGACGCATATTATTCCACATACCTTAGGTATGTGTTGATTTCTGTTTAGTTTGTGTTATTCTATACAGTATTGGTGCTAATAAATCAATTGAGTCGTACCAGTTGCTGTTGTATGTTTTTCTGGCTCTGAGCCTGGCTGCTCCGGCGCTGGCTCCAGTCTTTCAGGGAGTCTCTGGCCTCCTGGGTCAGCCCGCTAGAGGGCATTTCTTCAGGCTGGCTCTGGATCAGGCACAGGCTGGCATACACACTGGTCAGGTAGTACCCACCTGGTACAAACATTGCAACACTATGGATTATGATGGCTATTTGGCATCATATACTAAATTATTTGAAATATTTCACATTTAAAGCCTAAATACTTGTATATAGTTGGGGTTAACAGTTTGATCGTTTTCTGTCAGCCTTACCCTCCCCTGTCAGCCATGATGACTCCAGCAGCTCCATCATGTACTCCACCTCCACAGACAGCTCTGGCATGTTACACTGTACGATGACATAGGACAGGGCTGGTAGGAAGTCATCTGCACCGAATTCCTGGCCTGCTCATGGAGACAAGACAACTCTACCATGTTAACACATGACACAAGTCTTGAAAAGACCATGGATGGGAGGGATAGCAGCTGTTGCTTCTGTAAGGTTTATTTCTTTACCATGTTCTCTCATAAAAAAAGCCCTCACCTGAATTGTCCGTCATGGCTTTATAGATGAGCTTGCAGACCTGCAGGAGCACAGCAACCTTGTCAATGGGAGAGTAAGCCCGCCTCATGAGAGCTAACTTCTGCCGCACCTTCTCCACACCGGCAGCATCCGGCACTCCCACCCGCACTCCAAAACACTCCAACGGGGTCTTTCCCCTGACCACAGCCAGGCTCTCTGCCATGCTTTGGGTGGAGCCATCTCGCTCATGCAGAGTTTTCAGTGTCCTGTCTATCTGTCCCTTCAGAGGTTTCAGCACACAGCGGAACATGGCTTTCTCCAGCACCAGGTCTGCACACAAACACACATTCATAAGGTCACATGTCATTATCAGTAGAGGGAAACATGGTCGTACTGGTTGTATATAAAATGACTGAGCATATTTCTACTGTTTATTTGACTAATGCCTGCTGTTTGCATTGGGGATCAATGTTGCTGTACCTTTCTCATCATCAGGCACCATGGTCTCAATGGGGGGCTCTAGTTCTCCACAGTCCAGCAGGAAGGTCTTGGCCTGGGAGAGGAAGAGGCGGATGCCCTGCAGTAGGTCTACGCCAGATCTCTGGCACTGAGGCTTGATCGCCTCTCGCTGCTGCCTGAGGAAGTCCTGCACCAGGACACCAAACACAGTCCTCCTGTCACGGGACAGGTCCTCCACCAGCCTCGCCACGTGCTTCTCTGGCATAAAGAAGGACACAAAGGCTGCACTCAGCTTGCGCAGGACTGAGACGGGCTGGCGTGGGGGCAAGGTGCATGGGGGTGAGGGGTTACTGGTGCCCCTGGTGAGGGGAGGTCGCTCTGAGCTCTCCTCTGCCTCCTCCAGGCTGCTGAGGGAACTACTGCTGTCCAGCTCACTCAGGGAGGGAGCATATCTCTGCTCCAGCAGGAGACCCACCTCCTCACCTCCTTTCTCCTGGGCCGGTCCCTGCAGGAGAGCTAAGGGCACATGGTAGTCCTCCTCTGCAGTGGGAGACAGTGTGGGTGTGACCCTGGTCTTCTGCGGAAGAAATGGAAGAACCAAGCATGGATGCAAATAGTCTGAGTCCTCCTGGACGGGTGCTGTCCCTCTCTCACCCTCCACTGCTCTACTGGCCTGCTGGACCTTGCTTTTAATATTTTTCTTGGCCAGCAGAGGTGGGGGAGGGGGAGGGGCAACTGGTGGGGACAAGGAGCTAGAGTTCTCAGTGGAGACACGCACCTTGAGGCTGCGCTTGAACTGGAGGCGTTTGTGCAGTGCAGGCTGGGATTGCAGGAAGAGTGGGTTGATGAAACAGAGAGCCCCTTGGCCTGCTGCCCCACAGTTCAGCTCCCGGGGGCTGCGTGTTTGGATGGGGCAGAACTCCTGGAACAGGGTGGGGCTCTCCTGTGGCGTGGCACAGTCCTCAGGGGTGGGGCTAGGTGGCAGCGGTGCCTCCTCGACTGGTGGGGGCCCATTGCGTGGACCTCTGAAGTTCAGCTGGGAGCTCCAGAACTCTGAATGAAAAAGAAGCAAAACTGTGTCTGCATACTTCCTCAACGCTATCCTTGATGAGTTGTGTACGGTACACAATGGCAGCTAGCATTACAACGATTGCCAACATCTTGGTAGATCAGACCTTTGAGCCACACTGTGGTACCTACCCACGCCCATGTGTGAGATGGACTCCAGCTGTTTGTGGGATGAAGCCTTGACTATGGCCTCAGGGAGCTCCAGTGGGAAGGGCAACACATCCCTGAAATAGACAGCACATACGTTTTATAGACAGGTCTAATTAAGTTAGTAGGATATGATTTGGACCAATAATGAGAGATAATTTAGATCTAGATGGATAACACTAGTAGACATTAGTTGTCTAAATGTCCTAAACCTATTTTACAGTGAAGCCAAGTATCACTGCTCTTTATTAAGCTTTATGTATCGGCCTAGTCAGAGCAGTGTGCGGGTTTCTTCTTTTTTCTCAACTGTTACCATGCACCTGCAACAAAGATAGCTCAGATGTGCGAGTGCCTTTTGAACTGTGAAGCCAAGTAAAAGGCCCATACCGGCTAACACAGTAGAAGGCAATGAGCCGGAAGAGGTCAGGGAAACCGATAGCCGCTCTCTCCAAAGAGAAGGCTGTGAATGGAAGGGAGACGGGGAAGCAAGAATAAGATCATTAGTAAAAACCCTCTTTATTCATATCAACAGGCTTTAGATAGAACATCGCTGTCTTTTTCTTTCATCACTCACTAGAGTCCCCTTCGCGGATGACAAATTGTTTGACAAAGGAGGGAACGCTGTCGTCTGCAAGCCTGACACACAGCACTTTCTTCTGCGAGGTGTTGGACTTGCGCACCAGAAAGATCTACAGAGAGGCAGAGATATACAAACTTAGGTCGTGTTTTGTGTGTGCGTGTGTGCGGTGTGCGTGCGTGCGTGTCTCACTCCAGGCGGCTCCCGCTGTAGGATGTGCAGAGCGGTGGCAGAGTTAATGGACAGCTGCAGCCAGACGGGGTGTGTGAGAAGCAGACGGTCAAGCACACTGATGTTCTTCAGGGAGCCACGCTGAGGACAAGCCCGCCTCTCTCCTACCGGCTCCCCCCCTACCGGCTCAGGGAAATCATACACCGGGTCCTCCTGCATCTGGGGAACAGAGTATACACAAGTCTAAGTTGCCACAGTGATGCTTCCCATTCTGCTATTCATCATACTAATTATTTTGGAATCAAGACTCTTCCTCTTCCCTTCTGGTAATGCTAGCAGGCATCATGGCATGATGTGCCCTGTGTTCTGTGATGACCACTACTTCTCCATAATTTTGGGAAACTCCCACATCATATTCCTTCCTCTCAGTGAGTAATCTGGAGGGAGTATGTCATCAGAGTAAGACTCACCACAATTGTAAAGTGTTCTAACGTGTGCATATCCTAAGGATCCTACCCTCAACAGTGAACTTGCTAGGACTGAAGTAAACATTTTGTGTTAGCTTGTTAAACCCTTTGAATATGAGAAGGTGAGGCTATATTTTGACAGAGGTGGTTTATATACACAGGCTGTTATTATGGAAAATGACAGGATGTCTATTCCTCCAACTTCCCTCCAGGGATTGGCTGCTGCTATATAAGACAGCCCTGAGGCCAACACAATATCTGAGAGAAAGGGTGGTGGAGCTGGCTGCCCAACTTCTCGCTTGAAGTTTGGCAAGTCTAGACTTGGTGAGCTGGTAGAGACAAGCACTGAAAACACTCTCCAAACCTACTGAGCAGTGTGTGAAAATGCAAATCTAACCCTGTAAACAACTGAGAGGTTCAAGTCTAAAATGTAAGGCAGTGTCTTAAATTTGCATTCATAATAATATAATATGCCATTTAGCAGATGCTTTTATCCAAAGCGACTTACAGTCATGTGCGCATACATTTTTACGTATGGGTGGTCCCGGGGATCGAACCCACTACCCTGGCGTTACAAGCGCCATGCTCTACCAATTGAGCTACAGAGGACCACATAACAATGCAACAAAATGTCCAGAATGAATAGCCTATACCAGAGCCCACTTTTGAACCTCATGAGACTATTGTGATACTGAGAATTGGGTTATTACTGGAGGTATAAAGTTGTTTTTATGTTGGGGAACCAGTGATGAAAAATATAGGCATAATTAAACATGGACTATACTGTAACAACAGACCAAAGGTTATTTCAGTAAATAGAAAAATTAGATTTTGTATATTTTTTATTCTAATAATAAAATTACACCATCATATTTGTGGACATGGTATGGGCCTCCAACGTACTCCACACGTTTTATCACTGCCACGTTCTGTAACTCTGTAAGAGGCTAACTTCCTTGATATGTACTATTTTTACATACCTTCAGTTAATCGGTGCCAGGTCTCGTGACTTCAGTAATCAAACAAAGATTCAACTGTTTCTTATTTGACACTTTAAAATTAATGGCAACATTACAGAATTCACCTTAATCTCCCGATCCCCTGTCGTGTGAGAGGTTATGCTGAATAGCCTACTGTAAATTCCACTTGGTCCCTGAATTTCCAAATGCCATTGAAACGTCTAAAGTATAGAAAACTGTAATAGACCTAGATATATGGACATGCCATGCTGGCGCTGTCTGGACTGTCCAGGCAGAGACCTCTCTGCGAAGTTGTGATTCAGAAGTTCCTCGCACTCCTCTGCTCTGTCTTCCTTAAATTTTCCATTCACACTTTGCAGAGAAACAAACCTGTTTGGACCAAGGCTATATACGCATGCGCCCGTCACCACCTTGTGAAAATGTGCTAAATACAGTATTGTCAGTGGGAAAACCGCCACTAAAACATAATTCAAATCAATTGTTTATTCTGTCCTTTGTGAAAGAGGGTTACATAATTAATCTGCATAAATTATTTCTAAACTTCTGAGTGGTCATCATCACCGTTGTAACTAAATTATGCAGCAATCATGATACATTTAAAGATTTTCACAAAATAAATGTCTGTTTCATTTGGTATACACTTCTGCAATGGAGACTTCGATAGATATAGTTTACTATGTAAAATGTAACAATAAGAAGGACCTAATGGTTGAAACACTAAGTGGTAGCCTATTTGTACACGCCACTCAAACAACGTGCTCAGTTACATTGTAGCAAAATATTGTAGCCAGCCTAAATAAACGAGTTCAGCTCAAGTCTTTTGGAAATGTCACACGCTCAAAGATCGGAACCGGATGTGGTCATTGAAAATATTGCACCGCGTTAGGTAAGATGGAAGCACAGTGTGCTAAGTTATTTTTTTGTTTGAGTAAAACTATTGTCATTTTTGTTTAACTCAGCAATTGTTATGAATACACAATTGGATGTTAAAAATGTACAGTATTCTCTAAATTGTTGCAAATATATGTAACTGCTTCTGAACACTCAACATAACGTAAGATTGCTAGTTTAGCTAGCTACTGTAGCTAACTCCAATCCGCGCCGAATGTATCATTTTAGCTAGCTAGCGAGCCAAGATAAATCTGATTACACCTCGGCCAATTTATGTTTGTAAAATACAGCAATTTCGAGTGATTCTATGAAAATCACATGTTTCCCGATCTGGTGGGGGGGAACTAACAGTAGTTAGCTAACTTAGCTTTGCAAATATTAGCTAGCTAGCTTTGCAAATGTAAGCTAATTAACTGAATCATTGCCAGCAGGTTTGACCATGGACTAGTTTAGCTTCATGCTTTACAATATTGTTAGTTACACGTCACATTTTATTAAACTACTATATTCATGATTTGCCTATAGATTACACGTCCGTTTTCAGTTCTGTCATCAGCTGAAAGATAAACTAACTTAGCTAGGTCAGTGACACCCTCCTGTTCTTTCCCCAGGTGTGCCCAGCCATGGAGTCGACAGATAAGAACAATGCTATAAAGCTATTTGTGGGGAACCTGGCGTTGGACACCTCTCAGGAGGACCTGACACAGCTCTTTGGACCATACGGACAGGTGGTCACCTGTAGTTTACTCAGGCAGTTTGCCTTCATCCACCTCCAAGGAGATGGTGCTGCTGATCGAGCCATAAGAGAACTGAATGGACGGGAGTTCCATGGCCGCAACCTGGTGGTTGAAGAGTCCCGCGGACGGCCCCTGCACTCCACCAAGGTGTTTGTTGGGAACCTTAGTGCCATGTGTTCTGCTGAGGACCTACAGGAGCTCTTTCAGACCTTTGGGAAAGTTCTGGAGTGTGATAAGGTCAAAGGTGAGCCATGTCGTTTCCCCCGCCTTTTCATGCATTGACTTTGTGCGCATACAGCGCAACTTCAGTTTAGTAAATCGACTAAATGACTAAGGTTTCCATACACTTGTCGAAAGATTTTCAAGCAAATATACTAATATTCGCACCAAAAGATATGCAAATTTTACCGGCAGAGCTGTTTCCATCAAACTGGCTTGTTGCGGATAAAAAGCTGTGCGTAATGACATAGTGTACGTAAAAAGCCAAATAAAATAACAGTGTCGCCAGCCCATTTTTAACTCTGTTGATGGTTTTGGGACAAAAACTCTTGCAATAAACAACACATTTGCCAACTCTGGTCTTGGCATATCTGCTCTAGCCAACAGCTCACAGATATTGTCCAGAGGGTACATGATGAGATTATGGAGAAGAGCAGGATCATTTTTATTGGTCAATTTGTCAAGAGTATCTTGATGTAAATGTAATTGGCAGCCAAGCACCGATCATCATATCACCAGCATTCAAATGAAGACCCTGGATATTTAATGGAAATAAGCCTCAAGCTCATCACTGTGCACTTTCACCACACTGAAGTTCATCATTTATTCAATCTGTAGCCTAATAAACGGCATGCTTTTTCACCTCGTAGTAGGACCACACAACATAGTATCGCGTGAGTGGAAGTTTGCTTCGATATGATAGTTATTCTACCAAAAATTTCAAAAAAAGTTAATCCACCGAAAGTTGTCGCACACATTATATTTTAGTCCCCCCAAATATTATTAAACCCTGTCGAATGTATTTTGTTTTGTCAACATTTAGGAAAGTGTACAGACAATTAACTGTTTCCATCAGGCCTATCGTGAGTTTTTTTATTATCCAACAGGTACTTTACTCTCATACAAATAGTTGAATGGAAACATAGTTTGGTGGTTAAATTCATTAGCTCACTGTCTTGTCATCCTGTGCTTGTTTACAGCGAGGCTCTCTTCCTCGGCGGGCTATGCCTTTGTGCACATGGAGCGTAAGGAGGATGCGCTGCAGGCTATTGAGGCTCTCCATGGTACCACCTTCAAAGGCAGACCGCTCTCTGTTGAGCTCTCCAATGTGCAGCCCAGTAAACCCACCACAACTACAGCCAAGGTCCCCATCATGAGTCACTATGCCAATGAAAGCCCCTCCATCAAGCCCCATATGGAGCACCACCAGAGTCAGGCTGCTGTACTGGCTGCTGCAGTCGCTGCAGCTGCAGGTCTGCCTCTTCAGGTGCAGCAGAGCTTGCACAACTCTGTCTACAACACAACAAGCTTTGATCCCACTTACGCTGCGCTTAAGGGCATGACAGCAGCCAGCGCCACAGATGGTACCCCAGTGAGCCCTGCGGTCTATGGTGCCCTCGCCAGCCAGGTGTACGGCTCTGTAGCAGATCAGGTATACGACTCTATAGCGAACCAGGCCTCCAGCTATCATAATTCAGCCACACCGGACGCAGCAGGCTACAATAACCAGTACGACACCACCGCTGGAGAGGCATCGTCAGCCCAGGCTGCTGTCAACCCGGCCTACGGTGGGGCCTCTGCCTTCTACAACGGCAGCTCCGCCTATGGCTCCATGGGGGGCGCAGACCCCAGTGCCCAGGCCATCTTTGAGGCAGCACGGGCCCGCTTCTTCCAGCAGGGCCAGCAGGTTCTAGCTGAGCAGCAGATGGGAACTAAGTCAGGGGACAGGGACCGTAGCCCGGTGCGGCGCTCCACCCCACTGCTGCCTGACCCCGTGCCCCAGCCCTTCCCCCAGGCACGCCCCAAACGCCGTGCCCTCCTCCCAACGCCACCCGGCCGACCAGAGGACCCTGCTGCTGCTGACGGAGACCCCATTGCCAGGTACATGATGCACCTCTGAGACAAGTCTTGATATTTGCACCTTTTGAGGCAGTTTTGATATTTTGAAGCGTAATTACAATATAATGTTTCTCAACTTCAGATGCTATGCAGAGTACTATCAGCAGGTCCAGCAGTACCAACAGTACCAGCAATACCAACAACAGTACCAGCAGTACCAGTATGGCTACCCACCTCCAGCCCCGACCCAGATGCCCACCCACCAGATGCCCATGCAGGCCCCGCCCCCGACGGAGGCCCCACCCCCAGCGCCTGCCACCTACGCCCCAGCTAGAGCGTATGAGCCGCCTCCATCACACAAGGAGCCCCTCCTCCGCCGCCCTGACTACTCCCACCTTCACATGCCAGAGCCCCCCTACCGATAACCCTTTAGATTGCCGTGTGTATGCGATCGTGTGTGTGTGTGGGTTTTGAATGCTGTAGTTCTGGTCCGAATGTGCATCACTGCAAGTTTGCCCATTTTATAAATCTCCTGTTCTGCAGCTTTTTGTTTCTGAACACATTTCTAACTAGTTAATTTTACTTTATTGTAGGCCTGGTCTTGATAAGAAAGCTGCCCCACAAGACAGTAATTTGTATTGGGAAGTCGTTATGGTAGTAAGTGTCTTCATGATTGTGTTGCGTACTGGGTGCTCTACAACCCCTACATTTAGTTTAGCAAAACAGAAATGGTCAAATTTGCAAAAATATTAATCCACCCTAGAGGAGTGCCTTGTTAAAAGCCTAGCTGAAATATTGAGTAAAATAAGTTTGTGTACATGTGGACATAGAAAGGAAAAGCCCAAATCGATCCATGCATTTTGTTAGCAGGCCCTTGCCTCTGTCCTCGAGGTGACTTTGGCTCATCCAAATTAACCATTAGTTCACATGTATAGAGGATAACTTTATTTTTCCAGATTTCGTTTTTTAATTTGTATTGCCTTCATCGAAGACTTCATATGAAAAGTCAAATGTTCCAGCATATGTAGATTTCTGGGTAATAAAGTGGTTATTGTGTTTTTAAAAGATTTAAAGCAAGGGGCAAAGTAGCTTTACATAAGGACCGGTGTGAGTGAGTGCATATATGTACGTGTGGGCATGTGTAAACAATCTAGGGGAACAATGGAAGCATTTTTTATAACAATCACAGGAACACACAGACACACACATAGACCTCAGTCATAAGACTTTCTCTCCATAAAGTGTGGGGCTTTGGGAGAGACGCTCGGGCGCTTTACTGCACCAAAATGACAAGTCTGCTAGAGTGATAAGCAAAACTCCCGTTTTCCTTGCACACAGTCGGCCTCTGGGAATGTAGTTCTTCCCCATGTCTCACATTACCTTCTGTTAGATCTGATCAAACCTATCAGATAGAAAGACCAACAAAGCAGACCATTTTAGTATCTGACAGTCTAACTCACATTTTCTTGGGGAACTAGTTTTTTTATTTGCAGACAGTGTTACGTGAATGCTTTCCTCTGCTGTTATACCATGAATACTATCCTAGTGACTTTTAACTGGTCTAAACGTAAAATGGAGATGTGGAAAGCCCTGCTGGTGGCAAGTGCATGCAGAAGGCTTCCTTCAAGCATGCCTTTCAGGATCTGAGGGCATTCAACTGCCATTTTGGGCCTCACCTTCTTTTCTCCAAAGGATAAAAACTAGTGGGTTTTTCACACACAGTACATTGTGTGGTTTTGACTGTACAGGACAAACATTTGACGGTTTTCTTTTTCTTTGTTTTCTGTTGGTTGAAGTGAATTTTCTGTGCGATCGTGGTAGTCATATTCTGTAAGCGTATTTACTTAAATTGGACCATCAAATTCATGAACTGTCTCAAATTGAATGTGGAGCCATTAGGCTCCCCAGGTTTGAGCGAAACATATTTGTTCCTATTATTGAAACGTTACCACTCAAGCTTAAGTAATGAAAGTAGGAGTGATTTGGTTTGAGAATAAAACGGCACCATGCGACTGTAATTTTTCTAAATTAAAATGGGAAATGTTAGCCCCATCGGCTTAATTATTAGACATGCGATTAAACTTGCTATAAAATCGTTTCCATGTTTTTTCAAAATATTTACTAATTGTTTCAACCTTGCACGTCTAAATAGAAACAATTTGTTCAAAGACGAGAAGTTGCTACTCTTACGTTCTTGATTATTCAATTTCTATGAACTGTGACATGATCATTTCCAACCGGTCTTAATTGGGCTCTACCACTTCAGTCTTCATTACACCTACACTACATGACCAAAAGTATGTGGACACCTGCTTGTCGAATATCTCGTTCCAAAATCGTGGGCATTAATATGGAGTTGGTCCCCTCTTTACTGCTATAACCGCCTCCACTCTTCTGGGAAGGCTTTCCACTAGATGTTGGACATTGCTGCGGGGACTTGCTTCCATTCAGCCATGAGCATTAGTGATGTTGGGAGATTAGGCCTGGCTTGCAGTCGGCTTTCCAATTCATCCCAAAAGTGTTTGATGGGGTTGAGGTCAGGGCTCTGTGAAGGCCAGACAAGTTCTTCCACACCGATCTCGACAAACCATTTCTGTATGGACCTCGCTTTGTGCATGGGGGCATTGTCATACTGAAACAGGAAAGGGCCTTCCCCAAACTGTTGCCACCTAACTTTACAGTTGGCACTATGCATTCGGGCAGGTAGCGTTCTCCTGGCATCCGCCAAACCCATATTTGTCCGTCTGACTGCCAGATGGTGAAGTGTGATTCATCACGCCAGAGAACGCGTTTCCACTGCGGCGAGCTTTACACACTCCAGCCGACACTTGGCATTGCGCATGTTGATCTTAGGGTTGTGTGCGGCTGCTCGGCCATGGAAACCCATTTCATGAAGCTCCCGACAAACAATTATTGTGCTGATGTTGCTTCCAGAGGCAGTATGGAACTCGGTAGTGAGTGTTGCAACCGAGGACAGGCTATTTTTAATCGCTACGCGCTTCAGCACTCGGTGGTCCCGTTCTGTGAGCTTGTGTGGCCTACCACTTCACGGCATTGTTGCTCCTAGACGTTTCCACTTCACAATAACAGTACTTACAGTTGACCAGGGCAGCTCTAGCAGGGCAGAAATTTGACAAACTGACTTGTTGGAAAGGTGGCATCCTATGACGGTACCACGTTGAAATCACTGAGCTCTTCAGTAAGGCCATTCTACTGCCAATGTTTGTCTATGGAGATTTCATGGCTGTGTGCTCGATTTTATACACCTGTCAGCAATGGGTGTGGCTAAAATAGCAGAATCCACTAATTTGAAAGGGTGTCCACATACTTTTGTATATATAGTGTACCTCAGAACACTCAACAAACCTCATGTCAACTGCGGGTGTTGGGAAGGCCTTCAACTGTCCCTCTATCATTATAACATTAATATTTGTGTAGCCTTGCTGCTTCACAGTATTTGGATGTAGGAGTGGGCTGTAGACTACAGTTGGTTATGGATCACTTTTGATTTCTGTTAGGAAAATATGAATTGTTATCTCTCATTGTGTTTGGTTCCCATGACAACATGCACATTCTATACTACACCTGCTTATTGCACATATATTCCTTGACATGGCTTTTTGTGATGTGTTAAAACTGTAGTGCATGACCTTGTTGCTCTTACTGCACTTCCAGCCACGTTTTCCCTTCTCGCTAATTATTACAGCTAAAATGGCTCCTGGGCTCCTGGATGCCATGTTGCGTGTGACGGGGAAGAGAATTAGTCGCGCAATGCCGTGGACGCAGTCCCCAGAAAGGTAAAGCCCTCTGCCCCCGACCACGCCTGCACTTCGACCATACACTTCCCTCATTGACCACACTCCTGCACAACGAGGCACCCCATCTTATTGTTTATTTGAGATCTGTGATGCTGGAAGCCCAAGAAACTATAACAAGACACCCAGTTCACAGACATAGGGGCCTGGATGTCGGGCCATGTCCAACGGGTTAGTGAACCCACACTATGGCACACCATGGCACATACACTATCTAGCCTTTGCAGTCCCACCTGATCTGGGTTTGTTGTTGGATGTGCCTGGAAATAATCCAGCCTTTCCATGCCTCTTTCTGATGCCGTTTTCCATAAGGGAATTAGATGACCCATCTACAGTAGTCATGGATTTGTCTTATTTTCTTTAATTCTATTTATTTTTAAAGGAAGTATTAAGCCAAATTGAAATTAACCACTATATAATGTCATTCAATAACTATTGAGGTAATCCCTCCAGATTTTATTTTTTATTTTTTTAACCTGTACTCAAACAGATTTAGGAAACTATCCTATTGTAATTGAGGATGATCAGATTGGGGTTTGCCGGAGATGTTGCGTATGTTTGTGTTGTGGCATATTTTTCTGAGGTATTTCCAGTGAGACGAGACGTGCATTCACTCTCAAAACTGAGGTGTTCCAGCTGTGCTTTGAACGGCTAAGGACGCAGTGGTACGCAAAAGGCCAGATGAACGGAGGGAGGTAGGGCTATCGACAACTGTGTCCCACGCATGTTGGGTGAGTAACCAATGCACCACTGACCGGCTCAAATCCACCTACCCCCCCCCCCCCTTCAATCCGCAACACAACGCCCAACCCTCTCACTCTTATCCCATAACCAAAACATCTACAGGCCTACAACACCATCGCCTAGAGAATACATTCCACAGCTGCGTTAGCTTAGAAGATATGGATGCCAAGAGGACACCATTCAGTATTGTACCTCCCCTGTCTTGTTACTTTGCAAAGTCAATTCTACAGTTCCTAATCGCCCTGTTAAATTGTCTAATTACAATTTGGACACCTTGATTGGGAACCTTAATGTTATCGTGTGGTTGATTTAAAGGAATACTTTGGGATTTTGGCAATGAAGCCCTTTTATCTACTTCCTCAGAGTCAGATGAACTCATGGATACCATTTTTATGTCTCTGCATCCAGTATGTTTCTCGAGCCAATGCTAGCTAGCGTTGGCACAATTGAAGTTAATGGTATCTACTAGCATGCGCTAATACTAGATAGCAATTGTGCAAACACCAGTTGGCGACTTCCTTCAAACTGCACGCAGAAACATAAAAATTGTATCCACGAGTTCATCTTACTCTGGGGAAGTAGATAAAGGGCTTCATTGCCAAAATCCTGAAGTATCCCGTTAAGATTTCTTAGGCTGCGTTTACACAGGCAGTGCAATTCTGATCTTTTGACACTAATTGGTCTTTTGACTGAGGTCGGACTACACTGTGTACAAAACATTAGGAACACCTGCTCTTTCCATGACAGACTGACCAGGTGAATCCAGGGGAAAGCAATGATCCCTTATTGATGTAACTTGTTAAATCCACTTCAATCAGTGTAGATGAATGGAGGAGACCAGTTAAAGACGGATTTTTAAGCCTTGAGACAATTGAGGCATGTATTGTGTGTGTGTGTGTGCGTGCGCCATTCAGAGGGCGAATGGGCAAGACAAAAGATTTAAGTGCCTTTGAACAAGGTATAGTAGTAGGTGCCAGGCGCATCAGTTTGAGTGTGTCAAGAACTGCAACGCTGCTGGGTTTTTCATGCTCAACAGTTTCCCGTGCGTATCAAGAATGGTCCACCACCCAAAGGACATCCAGTCAACTTGACACAACTGTGGGAAACAATGGAGTCAACATGGACCAGCATCCCTGTGGAACCCTTCCGACACCTTGTACCATGCCCAAATGAATTGAGGCTGTTCTGAGGGTAAAAGGGGGTGCAACTCAATATTAAGGTGTTCCTAATTTTTTT